CTTGACCCTGCCTCATAATAGTTCTGTTTCAGGTATATATTCTTTTTTTCTATTTCTCCCAATAGTATATCGTTTATTTCGGCCCTGACCATCTTGATTTCTTGGTATAAATTTGAGTCTTTTGTTATCTGATATTTCTGCTCTAATTCTCTTGTTTGACCTGTATTTTTGTAATTTGGTTCTTTTTCATGCGCAGTTATAGCTATTAACTGTCCTCTAATGACTGCCTTCATGCCATCCCACACTATTATTGGATCTACTGTTCCATTATTATTTTCTTCAATATATTGTTTTATCCCTGCTTTTATCTTTTCTTTCTGTTGTTCATTTGTTTAATATTCCCACATTTAATCTCCATACAGTATTTCTTTTCCTACTACCTAGGCACATCTTTAAATAAACCGGATTGTGATCCGACACATCTGCCGCTCCAATCTTGCACTCCCTCACCCTATGATTATCACCTTCCTTGACTAAAAAAATAGTCTATTCTGGAGTGTACCCCATAGACAGCCGAGTAATGTGTAAAATCTCTCCCTGTTGGGTGCATTTTTCTCCATACATCTATCATTCCCATCTCCTCTAGTGATATGTTTATAAATTTCGTTAAGTGAATTTTATTTTTTTTGTGGCTCGTTGTGTCTAAGTGATGATTCAAAACTACATTTAAATCCCCTCCACAAATTAGAATCCCTTCTGTTTCTACAGCTATTAAATCAAATAGACTTTTAAAGAATTCTTTGTTACTCCCTGGGGTGCATATATATTTATCATAGTTATTAATTCATTTTCAATCTTTCCTTTTAATATTATGTATCTTCCTTCTTTGTCTTTAACTTGCTTTTTGCAGTCGAATTGTATATTTTTCGGAATTAATATAGCTACTCCCCTTCTACATCCTTCTGCATATGAACTGTAATATATATTCCAGCAACCATATTTTTTAAGTTTTTCATGCTCCGATTTGGATAAATGAGTTTCTTGCAAGTATATAATTTGTGCCTTTTCCTTTTTCAATTTAGTCATCACCTTTTCTTTTTTATTTCGTACATTCAACCCGTTCACATTTAGCGACATTATCTTGATATCAGTCATGGAAATAATTTCTCGACCCCTGCCGAAAAGCTCCCCAGCAACTCAAAACTTAACCAACACGAACTATTACTAACCAAACAAAAACCTAAAATCAAACTGACTTCCAGTACTTGGGGTATCCCTCTTCCCCAGTCCCCGTTGGTGGGGTGGAGGGAAATCCTCACCTTTGCTGAGGGCCCCTCCCTAGATCCTGTACCACTCCCATCCCGTGGGGTACTACTCCGTCTAGACATGTCCAACTTAAAGTTTATATCCCCTCTCCGTCGGTTTTTAATGAATTCTGTGAAATTAAGAAGTCTTGCACTTTGGCCCAGTCTTTATTCTCTTTTGTGACCATACCTCATTTCTTCTTGGCCGACTTCTTCTGTGAGCAAAACATTCTAGGGTTTCCATTGGAAGTTGTGCAGCTTTTCTCTCACTCGATGAGCCGCCTCTCTGTCCCGGCCTGTCCCCTTCGCTCTCTGCCATCCTGCCGCTCCTCGTCTCCTTTCCTCCGCTGCTGCGTCGTTTCCTCCCGGCTCAGCTACGTTGTATCCCCTTTCCTTCATGTCCTGCGCTGCTGACTTAGCATCTTCGTATGTCTTCGCTCCATTCTCCCAGTGTATCCGCATTTTGGCGAGTGGTGTCTGAAAACGTATTCCTTTCTCCTTCAATATTTTTTTAATGCCGATATATGCCTTTCGCTTCTGTACAATCTCAGTCGGTAGTCGTGGTCAAAATAAATACGCTTATCCGTTATCTGAATCTTTTTCTGCCAGGCTTTCTTCAATATAATTTCTTTGGTCTCATACTGCAGAAAATTAACCACGACTGACCTCGGTGCTGCGTTTACATTCGGCTTTGATACGGGTGTTCGGTGAGCTCGTTGAATCTGGAGATTAGTCCCCTCCGGTAGTGCTAGCTCCTTTTTGAATAGTTGCTCCAAAAATGTGACAGTGGATTTCCTCTCTACATCTTCTGGCAGGCCGAAGATTCATATGTTGTTTCTCCTCGCTCTCCCTTCGAGGTCAGTTAGTTTTTCCTGCATTCGTTGTGTTTGTTCCACCATCTTCATTAGCACCTCGTTAGTATCCATCCTCCACTCTTCCACCTCCTCTATGCGTGTCTGCGCCTCGCTGATGTCCGCTCGCTGTGCCTGGAGCTCCCGGTCGTTCTCAGACCACCTCCGGTCTATTTCTTGTCGAAATCTCACCATTTCTTCCTTCATCTTGTTAAGAATTAAAAAGAGGAATAACTTGATTTAGCTCGTTAATTTATTCCTCTGTCCTAGGTTCTTGTGTGTCTGTGTACATGTGGAGAGAGAAAGAGCAATCATACGACGTCAGACTTCAGATATCTAGAGTTTTATCCAGAGAAATTCAATGCAAGAAGAATGTTACAATAAGCATCTCACTTAGATTATCAAAAGTCCAAGACATGACAAAACAGAAACAAAGAACTGAGTAAAAAGACAAAAAACAAAAGACAAAAGATGCATCTTCTGGGAAACTCTCACTCAGCACAAAGAGATTCGAACTTTTGCTGTGAAACAAACCATTTTATGAGAATGTGTATTCTACTCATTTGAATATATGCATTAGGAGGTGTGGTCTTTTCCTTTGTGTAGGCTGTCTTAAATGTTAATTTTGTTACCTCACAGACCCACTGAAACCCCCAGCTCTTCTCGTACCAGCCGCTGTCCAGATTGATATATGAGTGCAGCTGCAGCGTTATCTCTGCCTCAAAATGCTTCAACAAGTAACCAGTTGGTGTTTTTTAATCAAGCTTGCACAAAATGTAATGCTAAATAATGACTATAAGTTTGGATCTAAGAAGTAACTAATTCAAAACATGCTTAAATAAATATAGTTAATTCTAATATAGATAAAATTATTTATAAAAAGTTTTAAGATCCTAGTGAACTTTTGAACCATGCTAAGGAATTTGTTAATTGCCTGGCAGACAGACTCTCTGTCTAAAGCGATCCAAGGAGTCTAGGCCTGTGTGTTCTGTCGAATCCTCCTTAAGAATTTATATACGTTCAGAGAGTCAGCAGTTGTTTTAGTTTGGATCTTTATCTAAATTTATATGAACGTAGAGTGTACTTTAACTTTCTATGGTATATTTCATATGTATCAAAACTATCCTGTGCAGTATTGTGCTAACTTAAAATATTATTTCAACAATCTCTTTCTTCAGTTCGTCCTTGAACTCGGCCAGCTCCTGACACAGTTCTTGTTTCAAGTTTTTGATATCAGCTCTGATGGTTGCGAACCCGTTTTGCAGCGTCACCGTGCTATCACTTTCCTCCATTACCCCCTCTGTGTCTTCCTGGTGTTCGCTAGCTTCGTGTGTGGATCTTTTCCCCGTTGCAGGCAACTCTTCGCTTTTGTCTTGCTTTTTATTGCTTTTCCGACTTATTTTCTTGCTCGTCCCACTCATACCTTAGTTTTATCTATCGAGTTATATTCTTATTGTGGGCTTTTTTAACCGACCCTGGAGAGCTAACTAACTATGCGTCCTCTCCCTTTGCCATCTTCGCTTGTCCCCGCTGTATCGCCTCTTTAATTGACGCATGTGGGTCTGATGTTGGGGCGTTTCCCTCGCAGTGACCCAGATTCAGCACTGGAACCCAGTCTGGATTGAGCTCATCCAACGCTCAAGAGGAGATACCAGAACATACATTAGTACTGATGCTGTAAATTTGATAACACTAGTAAAATAGTTTACTACACAATAATGGAATAACCTTGTTGTCCACTAACAAAACTCGGACTATGCTACATAAAAATATAAGTCTGACCTAAACAAGGCTGACCCACTTAAATGAACGCAACATAACTGAACATGAGAACAGAGAGACACAATCATAGCAAAACATTATGACACAACACCAACAAGGCGAATTTAGATATTCACCATGTCTGGCGCAAACTAGTAGATATCTTGGGATGTTGGTGAACGTAATATTAGGAAGTCTCACCAGTGATACCCAGGCCGTTCGTCTCCTTTTTGTTAGCTCCGATAGCTTAGCCCCCTTGCGTTTACAGGCAGGAAAACTGTGAAACAACAGTCAGTTTTCCATCTTTTTACCGTTTCGGTTATGTGATCTGACATTACACTCAATAAACTCAGCAAGTTTGTACCATCGCTAAATTATTTTAAGTAACTTACATTCAAAAAATCTGTGACAGTCGTTTTCTCGGTTATATTTATGGCCATACAAGATGGCGCTCAGATCCCTCCGCCCAGAGCAGTGACATCACGTTCCAAAGCTCTATAGAGCATTGTAGATGTACTCTGCACTGGAGGGATATGAGCCACAAGGTTGTCGGTTCCGTCTGGCTGAAGAAGGAGTCCAACACCGTTTATGGTGTAACTCATATATTCTACGATATTTTTCTATAACTTTCTCCCTCAGAAAGTATCAATTATTTAGCCGCAATTATCAATACATTAAATCCTATTTTGAGTTTTATGTCAAAGCCACATGAATTAAATGACAGCTATCACACATGACATTTTTTATCCAGTTGCACATGTACATTGAAAATAATATGTAATAAAACTAAAAATTACATTTAATTAATGACATGAAATAGATAAATTACATTATCCAAATAAGTGAGTAAGACAAAAGGTTCCTTTTCTGCATAACCAAACAAACAATTAACATTTAATCAAAGCAAATGTATAACTAATGTATGACAAAAACAACATTCATTACACCAGTTCAGATAATTCAATGGAATAGTCACAAAATGTCAGGAAAATCATCCTGTCCCATTAAAATCTTCCAAGAAATTTAAAAAAATTTATCAAATTGTATTGTTTTTTGAATATTGTGATATATATATTGCATCATTAACAGAATATTGCGTATTGTATTGTGAGAATAGTGTATCGCTACTGCCTAGCAGGGATGATGTGCTGCAGATGTCATCTCAGGATATTATGGGCCAGTGGTCAGAATACTTTGACGACTCCTAAATCCCACTAACGTGTCTTCTATTGAGGAAGCAGAACCTGGGCCTGTCAGATTTTGGACTTGAGAATACGGGAAATAGTTATCCGTCCCCTCCCCTTCACTGGGGCTGAAGGGGGTGGAAAAAAACAACCGTAGGAGGTAAAAGCGGGGGGAAGAAGACTACAGACTACCTTCAGAAAGGGGCCGGAGGGCAGGGGATGGAACATAGTCACTCTAATGGAAAATATTAATGCAGGAGCATGCCAGGACAGGGGTAAAATATGGTAGATGGACTCAAAGAAAGCTTTTGGTGTAGAAAAGGTCTTCACCAAAATAAACCTGTTAATCAGTGAGTTTTATAGCAGCTCAAAGGTTGAATACTGAACTTGCAATGAAACACACCTCAGTTGGAGCTGACCTGAAGCAGGAATCAGGTTGTGGTTGTTAGTACCTGAGAATCCCAGAGAAAAGTGGAAGCCTCCAGCTCTGCTGCTTCCAGCTGCTCACACTAAAGGTGAGTTGAACCAAAAACACCCAGTCACTTGGAAGTAAGTAGAGGAGGGAGGGAGCCATGACTGACTGCACCTTCTGTGTTTTCAGCTTCACTCAGAGACAAAATGGCTTCCAGACCAGAGGATAATCGCTGCAGTCTGCACTCTGAGAAACTCAAACTCTTCTGTCTGGACCATCAGCAGCCAGTTTGTCTCGTCTGCAGAGATTCAGAAAAACATATCAACCACAGATTCAGACCCATTGATGAAGCTGCTCAGTATCACAGAGAGAATCTGAAAACATCTCTGGAGCCTTTAAAGAAGAAACTGGAGCTCAGGAAGAAAGTTCAAAAAGAGTTTGATGAGACAGCAGAACACCTGAAGGTCCAGGCCCGACACACAGAGAGGCAGATTGTTGAGCAGTTTAAGAAGCTTCATCAGTTTCTAGCAGAGGAAGAGGAGGCCAGGCTGGCTGCACTAAGTGCAGAAGAGGAGCAGAAGAGAGGGATGATGGAGGAGAAGATGGAGGCTCTGAGCAGAGAGATAGCAGCTCTTTCAGACACAGTCAGAGCCATACAAGAGGAGCTGGAAGTTGAAGACATCTCATTCCTGCACAACTACAAGGCTGTAATGGAAAAAATTCAGTCCTGTAACCTGCCAGAGGATCCACAGCTGCCCTCAGGAGCTCTGATAGACCAGGCCAAACATCTGGGCAACCTGGCCTTTAACATCTGGAGCAACATAAAGGACATGGTGTCCTGCACTCCTCTGGTTCTGGACCCAAACACGGCTGGTCCAAAACTCCTCCTGTCTGAAGATCTGACCGGTGTGAATGTAGGAGGGGAACAGCAGCTTCCTGATAATCCAGAGAGATTTGACTACTGGTGGTCTGTTCTGAGCTCTCAGGGTTTTAACTCAGGGAACCACAGCTGGGATGTTGATGTTGGAGACAGTAATAGCTGGGCACTTGGAGTGATAGCAAAGTCTGTCCAGAGGAAGGGAAAGATACGATCTGGATTGTTGCTAATACGGTTCTATAAAGGTAAATACTCAGTTGAGACTTCATTAACTCCTTCAGGTTTGTTAGTCCAGAAGAAACTCCAGAGGATCAGAGTGATTCTGGACTGTGACAGAGGAAAGCTGTCATTCATTAATCTGGATACTGACACATACATACACACCATCACACACACCTTCACTGACAGGATGTTTCCATACATTGAAACTCACAATAAAGCAAAAATCCAACCAATAAAAATCTTAGTGACTGAACAGTACCATTAATTTTCACAGGATGAAGAACTGAGTTCACTGCTGGCATCTTTCTGTCCTGACATTGGATTACCAAACACCTTGCTAATACTTTTTGTCCCAAATCCTTTGAAAGTTATAATGATGGACTAATGTTTTCATTCAGTTCTTCTTGGTTTTGGTTCAGTTTTGAGAAATTAATATTGATATGAGGCGATATGTTTTCATCTCAGGACGCATTTACCAGAGTTCATTGTGATCCGACAATCTACACTGCTCAGAAAAATAAAGGGAACACTCAAATAACACATCCTAGATCTGAATGAATGAAATAAATATGAAAATAATTTCCACCTGTTGTCTATTCCATTTGCACAACAGCAGGTGATATTGATTGTCAATCAGTTTCTAAGTGGACAGTTTGATTTCACAGAAGTTTGATGTACTTGGAGTTATATTGTGTTGTTTGAGTGTTCCCTTTATTTTTTTGAGCAGCATATTTCTATATCCTATTCAGAGGTTGCGCTACAGTTTTTTTGTTATATTTGATTGCTGATTCTATGTTGCATGACTGTGTTTTTATGTTTATGATGTAAAACACTTTGAAATGCCTTGCTGCTGAAATGTGCTAAATAAATAAAATTTGATTGATGGACAGCATTAAAAAAGTCAGTCATGTACTATTTTTACCCATCAAATCATAATATTAACATAGACTATCCAGCTGCATTATGTGGTTAACCCTGGTGAAAAATTTGCATACTAAGAATGTTAATTTGAACACACTTGAGCATACTTTAAGTCAGACTAATCATGAGTATACTTCAGGTTCACTTAGGATTATGACATTTTGGAACAACTAATTTTGTGCTTGGTGTACTTTAGTAGTATTTAAATTGTATTAAAGCACAATTTAAAGTGTACTTCAAGGTCCTTATTTTGGACAACTTAAGTTAAACTTAGTATACGTTAAGTATATTGCTTTCTATGTAATATAAACGTGCTTGATTAGTATATTTTGAGTGAACTATTTTTGTGATTGAATTACATTTAAAATATACTTGGAATGTATTTTAAGCATATTGGCATTGCGCATTTTATGTATTCATAGTATGATTACAGTATGCTACAATTACACTACTGGTTTATTATAATTGTTAATGAAGTAAATTTTTAGTTACTTCATGGTTTTTATTATTCTTTTTTTTGCCACTTTGTACATTACATGCTTCATACACACTACAGTACTGCAAACACATCAGGGCACTAGGACACAGAAGGATCCTTTACAACACACTTTACAGAGGCAGCGCAACCTCTGAAACAAATTACATTGTGCTTTCAATATATTACCATTTTGGTAGCACTTTATTTGGTGGGGTGTGCATACGACAGACATAACAGTGTTATAAACTTGAAGGAGTCTTTATGAATGCCTATGACAGGGGTGGCCAAACTTTTTGAGACCAAGATCTACTTTTTCTCTCACCAGCCGGCTGAGATCTACCTCATGACACGAAGACAGAAATTGTAAATTAAACTCTATTGACTCATTTTCTATACGAATATCCATCAGTTATATCAGAAATGATGAAGTGATAGGAAACCTAATGCAGTTTCTTCCTCAGTGAGATTCTGACTCTGGGAGCAGGTTACTGGTTTCTCAGTCAGAAGCTGGTTGTAAACCTGAGACCAGCAGGTGTCGGTCAGTTATGGTGGATCTGAAATGTAGTTTGATGACGTCAATATGCGAAACTGCAGACTGATAGGAGGAACCAGAGCTCTGCAGAGGTAAAGGCAAATCTTCTGAATTTGGGATATAATTAATGTAATTTGACATAATTATTGTGGTAGAAGCCCTTTGTTTGTTAAAACTTAATCAAATATATGTGTCCTATTTGATGTTTGTTGTGACGTTTACTGCAAATGAACGAGGTCATCAGTCCAAGTCTGTCGTTTATTGAACGTTCAGAAACTCCAGCGGCTGTGATGAACCACAGCGAAGGAAAACAAAGGTAGAATAACCTGAACAGGTGATCAACTCAGAACCACTCGCACCTTTTTACTCTCTTTCTCTCTTTATCGTTAAGCACACCCGTTGCCGTGGCAACCGCCTGCCCCGCAAGCCGAGCAAAGCAACTTCTCATTAAAAGTATTACTGAATGGCACTTCATGCCAGTTAGTTTGTTCCCAGAAGGTATTATGTATAATGTTTATGACAGTATTGTGTCAATCTTATTCACACCCCGTCAAATAAAGTGTGACCCACATTTTTCAAGAGTACAATGCCAATATACTATCACAGAATTGTACAAATTGTCAATACATTCAGAGTTCACAGACAACATGCTTATGAAAATTAGCACAATAAAACAACAGGTACACTTTAGAGGAAATGTGAAAAATGTTTCACCCAGAAAAGAGTATTGTTTTAATATAATGTCAAAGTATTCCAGTAGTACTCCAGAGAAACTGACATTTCTACTTCATAAGAACAGTGAAAATCAACGACAAAACATTCCCATTTACTGCATCACTGCACTTAAGAAAAAACTACAAAAAAAAAAAGAACAATAGAGTAATTAAACAGAGAATACACTTGTATTTTAAAGAGTATAAAAAACAGCAAAGAAAAAAGTCAGACTTACAATTTTAGGATGCTGTGGACTCACTATGTATGTGGGATCATCAGAACTGATGATTATTGGGACTGGATGCCTGGAGTGAAAAATATTTCAGTGTTTTCTTTACCTGTTTATGTTAGAAATAGAAAAATAGTCAGCAATGTCATAGAATCAGTTGATGCTGGCCATAACAATGAAGCTGTTTTAAGTGTGGACTTAAGAGAGACAAACTACCTGAAAAGCTTTTCATCCATGATCTGAACACTCTGGTCCTTGCAGGGTGGGGAGGGGGGATGGTGATGCCCATCTCCAGGAGTCATTAGATGAGAGGTGGGGTTCACCCTGGACAGGTCACCAGTCCATCACAGGCCCCTGAAAGCTCACAATGAATAACATGTATGGAACAGAATGGTAGATTAACAAAAAGAATAAATTCTGTCCAATTATTTTCAAATTAAATTATATTTATTAAGCACTCAGTGCTAGTCACACACCAGTTTCTGCTGTTAAAACCGTGGCAAGCTGCTCAGAAAAAAAAAGCCACCATGAAGACGATGTGGAGCTTCATCCTCAGAGCTGGTTGGTGATCTGCTGGAGCCTCTTCTGGGACACGAAAGGCTTTAGGTTTTCTAACATGTGATCTCTGGCTTCCTCTTTCATCATAATTTGCTTAGACTGAAAAAATATGTTGAAAATACAAACAATGATGAACGACTTATAATAACAGCCTCACAATATCAAAGTTTCTTTGGGTTAGTGAGCTTAATTAAAACCAGGTTAAGTTTATGAAGAAAACTATATTAAGTCGCAACAAACGAATCCTCCATGCAGTTATAACTGTATGGATAATAATCATAAAAGTCACAATAAAATTGATAAAATAATTATTTCTGAAATCAACGTATTTGTTTATACGTGTACTGCACTGTTTATAATTAAACAAAGATAATTAACATTTTGAAGCAAACTTACCACCAGCTAGCAACACGTTAGCAGCCTTCCTCCCTTCGGGCTCTTTACGTGATCCACATTTCATTTCCATCGATTGTTGTCCAGTTGTGTTGTTGTCTAACTCGGACTAGGACATCACAGCTCGAATTTATCAAAATTACTAGCTATTATCTAGGCCCTCTCTATTTTTAAGGCAATATTATATGAGTAAAAATGGCGAATTTGAACAGGGTTTGTCATCTTTTTTTTTTTTATTAATTACTTAACAATTATACAAAATCACATGGCATATACATACTTGGAAAAGTCAACTTTTACAGGCTTAAGGCACACATATAACTAAAATAAAATAAAATAAAATAAAAAAGTTAAATAAATAAAATTAGTCAGACATCAAGCAGAGGGATTACAGAACAAAAACAAAAAACAGGTGGTTTGTCATCTTCTCTGACTACGTGGCTTTTCTTCTTTTATGGCGCTTTAAAATAAAATGAAAGTGTGAAATACCGTCATCATCTGGTCTGGAGTGTGAACTTGGAGCTAATGCCGTTCAATAATACATCTATCATACATCTTGTCATGAAATGAGGGAAGACGAGAGAGCCATCAACAGTTGAAGAGTCGGGCTTGCTTTATTAGCACGAGCATTCCACTAACAACATGAACATACTCTTACTCGAACTCGTTTTATCTCTGTATAGTTTTAGTGCGCCCCCAGTGGGCAGAAACCCAAACTGCTGTAACTATAGAAAACAATAGTATCTCACAACGTCTCCCTTCTTTTAAAGTTAAACATTGGAAGATCGTAAACATCTGCAAGTTAGCTTAATGTTTTAAATGATACTTAAATGGTACATCTCTAATACAATTAATTACTCAGGTTAGCTTAATCTTTAGCTGTCAATGATCTCGGCTCCTTGGACTTACTAATAACTTTGGCAGGCGTTGTCCACCCTTTTTCCCCATCCAGTTTCACTCTCACGTGTTGACCCGGGAGAAGGTCAGAAAGAGGGCGAGCTGAGTGTCTGCGGTTGTAGAAGAATCTGTAAGAATCTTTGGCCTTGGATCCTTCATGTAGACTAGGTCTGAGTAGACTGCGCTTGGCATCAATGTTTTTTCCAGGACAGGAACAGTGGTGCGGATCTGTGTCCAGTCATAAGTTGCGCTGGACTACAACCTGTTGCTGCAACTGGTGTGGAGCGGTAACTCATGAGGGCTAAGCAGGGGTCAGGCTGTTTAAGGATATACTTAGCAGTCTGAACGGCCCTTTCTGCAGCTCCATTAGATTGTGGGGAATGGGACTTGAGGTTATGTGAGTGAACCCATATTTCTCCTTGAACTCTTGGAACTCTGATGAGGTAAACTGTGTCCCATTGTCACTGACAAGTACCAATGGGATGCCCCATCTCACAAACATGTGTTTGAGCTTATGATAACTTGAGTGCTGGAAGCGGTGGTGAGGGAATTAATTTCAATGTCTCTTGAAAAATAATCAACAGCAACAAGATATGTCTTACCCTCGAGCACAAACAGGTCAACTGCAATTCTCTGCCAGGGACCACTAGGCAGGGATGTTGTCATCAGTGGTTCATGTCTCTGTGTAGGTTTGTGCTCTCTGCAAAAATCACAGAACTTCACTTTGTTAGTGATCTGTGCACCAATCTTCGGCCACCACACAGTCAACTTAGCTCGCTCCCGACACTTGGTGAGGCCCTGATGGCCTTCATGTAGTTGGTCTAAAACACCGGCTCGGAGTGCTGTTGGAACTACGATGCGGTCGTGATAAAGAACCAGCCCATCCAACTCCGATAGGTGACCTCTGACTGCATAGTATCCATGCGTTGGTGAGCTCCTGCCATATTGCGGGGCCACCCTTTTCTGATAAACATGACCACTTTTTGAAGCTCAGCATCCTTTTGTGTAGCTGGCAGATTTCCTCCAGCTTTGGTGACCTGATTGGCTAGCCACCATAGCGTTAACATATGCCTTTACTTGTGTTTCAGTGTCCGGAACATAACTGTCTTTCAATGGATGTCTGGAGAGTGTGTCAGCGACAACAAGCTGTTTA